GTCCTCTTTCTTGCCTATCATCGATAGTATCTAAAAGTATAATTCTTATTTACTTTTATATAATTCTACCTTTGGATATTATCAAATCTATATCTTGTTTTGCACCTTTACTTTTCTAGAACTCTTTCTTGTATAGTTGCTACTTTAGGATACCTCTATACCTGATTACTTTGGGCTATTACTATATCAATTACCTTTGGATACTACCATTGACCCAATACTTTGCTAGTAAATTTTACTTTTGGGTATTATCAAAAGTTTACTCTATTTTTCATTTCTATATTCCTAAAACCTTTTCTAGTATAGTCAATACTTTTAGGTATTACCATATCGATTATTTTTGGATATTACCATTGACCTAATAGTTTAATACTGTGAAAGATAAGCCAATTGTTTAGTAAAATATTTTCTTTTATACCTTTAGCATTGCAAAAGATCTTTGATCAAAGGAAATGAATATGGTTTTTTTATTTAAAGTTTTCAATTTTCTATGTAGTTATATACTTTGTTGTCATATTATTCTTATACTACTTATAAAAAAATTTCAAACCCAATCTCGAAGAAATAAATAAAGCAATAAGACTCTTTTTAGGTGTAGCAGACCTTGATCTTAAGTCAGGCTATAATGATCATGTGTATTTCTAATATTTGTCTAATAGTAAAGATGTTATCGCTCTTCTAGATACTTATTACCCTGAAGAGATTTTTGATAAATATATAATTCAAATAGCAGATAAGGGCTTTATAATTATTAATTACCTATCTGAAGTTTATGGAATGCCTGATGCTTATGAATGTATTGACAGAAACCTACCTCTTTGTCTTATTCTAGATATTGATATAAGGTAAAAGCCTAATCTTATAAATCCTGAACTCCCTTCTTTAGATAGATATAAAATTTCTTGTAATGATTTATTATCCAGAATCTTAAAATATCTCATAACTTTAAATGATTTTGCTTTAGTGTAGAAATCAGCTGAAAAGTGGATTAGGGGTATATCAAAAGCCTATGTGATAGTCCAGAAAAAGATAAAACCATCATATCTTATTTATAGAAAGGGCACGCATTTACGCGAAAAAATTATTTGATACTACTTATACTGACAAAGAAGAACTTCTGACTAGTAATGTTTATTACCAATCCTTCCTTAATATACTAGATATATAAAAAGAATCCATCTGCTTAAAACTTTCATTATTGCTTAAAGAAATTTCTGCAGTTGATATAAGTTATAGAGAAAGTATGTATAAATTAGTTACTAGGATCAGTAAACACGAATCAAAAACTATGACCATAGAACAATATTTATTATATTATTCAGATAAGTGTAAATTACTAGCCGATTTGCAAAACACATGATATAAAGTAGTTGGCTTAGAAATTATATGTTATCAAATATTATTGAAGTTATAGGATAGTAAAAAGATGATTCATCTGAAATAGATATAAACGAGATCATCGAATTATATGGTTAAGAACTCTTAGTTATATGTGATAATTTCAGCTAAGAAAACTTAGCTGTTAAAATTATTTACATATTTTTTTCTCGTACAATAATACTGGCTAACTTTAATTTTTATCTTAGAACTTCTGGCCTAAAACGATCACTCCAAACTTCTAGTCTCTGATCATATGTGAAATTATGATCATTTTTTAAATTCATACCTCATATATCCCATATTTTTTTCCTAATTACGAACCATATAATTGCAAAAAGTAGTAAAGCTAGTAAGGTATATGATATCAATGATGATATTAAGAAACTTGCAATAACAGGAATAACTGATGCGATCCTAGAGGAATCTGCTAGAGGTATTACTTGAGCTGATAGCATTACTTTTACACTACTTAATTGTTTTGTAACCCCTTCACTCAAAATATACTTTTCAGAATATGCTAGTCGACTATGAACGGATTGATTGGTAGGATATCTGTCTGGCTTCTCAAAACTATTTCATTCTGGGGTAATAACTCTTGTAAAGCCTCTAATATATTTTCTCTAACAAAACTTTTATCGAGTTTCATAACTTTATCTTTAAGATTACGTTCATAAATGAGAGGTCTTAAATTATCACTGACCTAATTATTCATAAGCAGAAACAGGAGATTAGAGAAATCTACTATTTCATTATCTTTTTTTGAGATTATTTCTCGGAGGTGAGAATTTTCTTCTATTAATTTTAATTTCTCTAAAGACTAAATGTCTATTTCCCATTTGAATATGTTATTTGATAATACTATCCTTTTTTTATGCATTCTATTGCATAATCTTTTAAGAATAAATCATTTTTTGCCTTTTTTAATTCAAGCCTGAAAGAATCGCTCTCTTTGGGATCAGATGAGTTTATTTGGGCTGGCTTCTCTAGTAGTTCTCCCACTATATGCGAATTACATTCTAGTTTCAGATCTAGCAACTTACCTTCTAATTTAACTACCTTAGCTTTAAGAGAAAAGATCTTAACCTTGTCAGCAGAGAAGCTTTCTGTGTCAAAGTTGCCTCTCTTTTTAGTGTTTTAATATTGAATTTGAGTAATTTGATTTCGGCAGAATTATTGGCTCATTCTGCTTCATACTCATGTTGACTCTCAGAATGAAACTTCTGTTCAGAAGTAAATTAGGATCTAAGCTTAATTAATATATGCATCATTTAACTGGCTAACTTTATTTCTAATATCAGCATAGATTTGATAAAACTCCTTTTCTCATCCATTATACTTATCTACTAGTTTTTCATTGAGATAATTAATCTTAAAGTTAAATTCAGTAACAGATCTTAATTTTTTTTAAGTTCTTACTCATATGCATTACCTAGCTGATACCCCCTTATATTGATATCTTTCAGTATATACACATTGGACATAATCTTAGTATAAGTTACATAGAAGGAAAAAAATGTATGAATAAAATTCTAAGAATTCTAAGATAATACATTCATTCTGTATATTCAGAATGATATATTCTTCCTATACATCCTATATATCCCAATGATAGAAAATGATCAGATCATTTGACCATTTTAAAATAACAGTTAAAAGACCTTTGAATGATCTAGTTATTTGGATCATTCAAAATGAATCATATCATAAATAACAAATGATCCATATGACTAGATCATTCAATATTATTTAACTATCATTTGCATAATCATTTATATAAACTAATGAAAAATGTTGTAAACAAAAAGAAATACGCTATATTACTTTTGCGAACGTTAGTTTCAAATAGATTATCCTTTACTTTTTTTGAAAATCAAGAAAAAAAAGATGTTTTTGCTTTTATTGCTTCAGCTTTAAAATTACCAGATCAGTGAAAAATGAGTGATAGAATTTTACCAAAATCTGCTAAACTTTTAATACAATTAATTACAAAAATGATACAAGATGATAAAATTGGAATAACTGCAGCTTTTGATGGATAGACTAAAATGTTAACAAAAATACTTGTTTGAAGTTATTTTTATAAAATCAATAGGAGAAACTCTTATTTGAGGTGTAAATGATATTAGCAATGAAAGATCAAAAACTGATGATATTATTAATCATATTAAAAAAATAATGGTTGATGCTGAAAAAAATATTAAATAAACTGCTATATTTCAGATTTAGCAGGTGAATATGCTGTTGCAAGATACGTATTTTATTTTTTATTTAATTTAAAAAATATATAATACATCCATTTTATTTATTATTTTAAAATTAAAATTCATTTTCAATAGGAGGATTATGCGAGTAGAATTTTCTAATAAGGTTTTCTTACTATACATGGCTCATCGGTTAAATCTAATAGTAGGAGAAATTTTTAAGGAGTCAAACACTTATCAGCGTATTTCAACAATGGCTATTAAAATTGTTAGTATTTCCATTCATCATCTTATTTTACGGGATTATTAAGAAATAAATAAAAATAGTATATAGGACCATTTTCAAAAAAATCAAGTCATGAGATATAGTAAATCATATAATCTGTAATGTGATTTTACTGGAAATGCTCTCATATGGCAAAACAGTAGCTTTAACTACTCCAAGTGAAACACGATAGAACAGTTTTTACTTCTGCTTTCATATTATTTTGAAAACAGAAGCAGCAATTTAAGGTTTGTTATTTATTTAATTAAAATTATATATCTATATCATATATTTATGTTAACGTTAACTTTTTTATTAGATACTAGTTACAAAATTTGCACTTGAACGTCTTGAAGGTTCTTTTACATCTAGAAGTGAACATATAAGACAAAGGCATATGTCAACTTCTACAGATAAAAAATTTCTTCCTCCCGATATAATTGTCATTATTAATAATTAAAAATTTTGAAATCATTTATATGAACTTCAAAATATACTCCTATCATTTTGTGTAGCATTAAATAAACTACAAAAGGATATGACTCAATTATATGAAGTAGTTTTTGCTTATGGATAGATAATTAAAGTATTTTAGATCATCAAAATGGAAATTTTTCTGACAAAATGATTACCTGACTAGAACGCTGATAGAAATAATGTGAGCATACTCTTTTACTTTTATTCTTAATTATTCATCCATAATATCACCTCAAATTTTTTAATAATAATATACTTACTCTTTTATATACTCATTTTGGTAAATAGATTAGTTATTATTTTCATGTTTGGTTTGATACATCACTATGATATATTTTACGTAAATTTCTTTTATCACTGGTTAAATGCTGATCAATCAGGTATCTTCCTGATTTTCCTAATTAGTCACTATTTTTTGATCAGCAATTAATAGATAGAAATCAGTAGATACTACAACTGGGTATGAATCGGTTAATAACTTAACCATAATTATTAGGTAGAATTACATAAATCAGTTTTCAACCTGATTTTATTTTTATTTTAAAAAATTTATAATTATATGTTAAATAGTAACAAATTAGATTTAAGGAAGAAACTCTTTCTGCTGATCTGTCCGACTATGCCTCAGCAATGAAAAACACCAAAAAATTTTAACAATAACCCGAGCAAAAAGCTCAATGCGCTGTTCTGGTTCGCCAACAAATAAAAGAGCAACTAAGAAACAACAACTTGATACCCCAGACTCCTCTACACCTATCAATAACAACAAAACCGAAAAAGATACACTGAAAGAAACTGAAATGGAGGTCAACCCAGTTCCTTCAACTTCTAACGACAAAGGCAAACAACCTGAAGTTCCTATAC